TGTTACCCTGGCAACTGGTGACGTTTCCTGGGCGGACATTGCCTTAAAGAGGGCGGGGCTTATACTTCAGGAGGGCCGGATGTCAAGTACATGACGTTTATCCGCGGCTGTCACTAAGCAGGAAACTGGACAGAGCTTCTTTACCAAGAGATTTCCGTTTACCCCGTTGCTATTTAAACTATTTTATTTCTACTTAACTTATCGATTTTGAAGGGGCCAAATAAAAGGAAGGTGATTAGGTATGAAAAAAGTGTTTTTTTCTTCTCAAAACCGGAAACAAACAAACAAAAACAAAAAACAACAAAAAAAAACCCAATTAGAATCAAATATTTGCTTTATTCTGTTGTAATTTTCTGCAGTATATTATATTAGATTTGAAGGACATTCAATTAAATATATTTTTCTTTAGATTAAAAATAAAATTACTTGTGCCAAAAGTTGCTAATATGATAAACTCCAGCAACCCAACAACATTACTCAGTAGTTGTGTGCGGCTAAATGTTTTGAATTTTATTATTTTAAAGTCTTGATAAAATGTTGTAATCTATATTACTGATACAACCTGTATCAATGATATTATATATTACTGATACAACCTGTATCAATGTGTAACAGCATAGAAACGTACGGTAGATGTAAAGCCACATATCTTTAAAGGCACTTGCTATTAAATTCTCAACATCCAAAATTGTATAATAAATAAAATTGTTTTGTTATTAGAGCAAAAAAGTTCCAAGACCTTAATGATCTCTTTTCCCATGTCACAACACAACCTGTGTGGTACTGTTTCTTCAAACCTTTAAAAATGCTGTGGGTTACAAATGACAGACATTTGTGTTTTCAAGTTCTCCAGGAACAAATTTACACTGAGGAGAAAATGAAAACAACATAACATTTTATCTCTTTATAGCAGCAAAGATAATATACTCTGTTTAATGCATACATATTTTTTAAATATGTATTATATTTATAAGCATGTTTTGACTACATTTTACAGCAATGTTTCAACACAGTACGATAATAAAAATCAATAAAAGCTTTAAGGGGACACTACACTACACTACTCTGTTTAAACCTCATCAAATCTGTGTCAAAAGAAAAAAGCCCTTTTATGGCCAATTTTATCCTCTCAGTCAGTCTTTTTTTTCTCAGACGGCGAATGAAACAGAAAATGTGGAAAGTAAATCCTGTGTAAAATCACAATGTTTTTGTAGATTTTTAGTATTTACCCATAGGACATGTGTAAAGAAAGCCTAGCTGTTTCAGGAGTAGTAGTTGGACGAAGTACTGACCAACAGTCAGCACTGATTGTAGAACCAGCCTGGACTAAAGAGGTCTTTAAATGAAGACCTGACTCACATGGGTGCCTTGGTCCCATACGCAAATCTGCAGCCTTTTAAACTGGACTGGACTGGACAAGTATACCATATAAAATTTAGACCTACTACATAAAAATAATTTAAAATCTTTAACTTAAAACATTTGTCTGCAGCTGTAGCATTTATGCCCAAGACGGATTCTCAGTGAACACTAAACCGCTCAACCTACAACCAGGCTTGACTAAATTTCCCTTTAGCTCTGCTCTGACTCACAGTCACATTACAGTGTAAACTACTACTACTAGAGTCCATGAGCAAATTTTCCATTTCCATCTGTGTTTTTTTTTCATACCTGGCATTCTCTGTACTTCAGTCTTTTGGTTCATCCACACCACATCTTTGAAAGCAAGTTCAGCTACAGTATCTCTGTGTGATACATATAAAGAACATTAACAAGGACACACACACACGGCAGCAGCAGCAGAGGTGTATCTACTCTTCACTGTCAGATGAAAGAGCAGATATAAAAGTCGAGATGTTCTTCAGACAAACTAGGACACACTTCTTTCTTCTTTTCATCATACCACAGCGGTCACTTCTACACATCAGTCACTCGCTACTGGTCGCCTTTAATCAGGTGTTACATCTTCCTCTGCGGCTTCTCTGGACTCGTTGACCTGGAGAGAGAGAGAGAAACAGGAAACACTTAAAGGATGACGTTTGGCCTAAAATTAATGTGTGTGTTTGTGCAACCACTTTACTAAACTTTATGGCCTTAGGACAAACATTTTTACACAGGTTAGCATCACATGCTGTCATGTTTTAGAACATGGACAAATTGGCTTAGTTTTTTTTTTTTAAAGGAGATTTTTTTGAAAGAAAAACATAGAAAGGAGCAGAGTAATGTGTGTTGTTGCCAACAGTCTCACCAACTGCTAACTAATCAAACATAATGGATCTCTAGAGGTAGAGTGTGTTCATAATTGCACTTTTGCCAACTGCTAACTATTCAAACATAATGGATCGATAGTAGATGATAATGGATCGGTAGAGTGTGTTCATAATTGCACTTTTTCCCTATACTTTACACGTGTACACAAACATTATGACACTGATTTTCAAGGGTATTCCTATACTTTACACGTGTACACAAACGGTTTTATACATTATGACACTGATTTTCAAGGGTATTGGATCCTGTCGTTATTAAGCAGTATTAACTCATGTGAATGTAATGGTCAAGACCGAGAATTCACACATGTCTCAACAGCGTTCCTCACCTGAAATGGTTCACTGACTCCAATGATGCACTGAAGAATACTGCTGTAGTAGCACAGTATGCACTGTCCTCCCCTCACTGGGATTCCCTCTTTGCTGACACACACCTACACCAAAGGAATAAAGTTAAATAATATAAAAAGGCATCAAACTGAGGTTAACTACAGCTCCAATAATGACTACCTGGATGGCCTCCTCACTGAAGCCCACCTCCTGGTCTTTGACCCACGTGTAGGTGAAATAGTCATCCTTACTAGTAAAGCCAACCTGAACAATACTGTAACAGTAACAGTATACAATATATATAAAGAGACAGGGGGAGAGAGAGAGAGAGAGAAATTTAAAGCTAACCTGATAGAGGCCGATCCAGTCCCATGAACTGGAGGGAAATGGCTGCAGAGTAGTGTAGAGGAGGAGGGCATCCTTGTCTGCACTCCACTCCCCCTCAGCCTGCAGATGCACTAGAGGAATGGTGTCTTTCTTCCTCAGCTACATGGAAGGAGAAGAAAAAGTAATGAGTCCAAAAGAGGAGACACATCAAGTGAACAACTGTACCAGCATGAAGTTTGAAACTTCGAGTAGGTTTTTTTTTTTTAATTATTTAACTTTGACATTGGTCCAATGAATGACACAAAATGAGGACAAATATCCATCTATGTTAAAAACCTCATTATATCAATTAACAAACCCATCTTTAGTTATTAGGAAGTTTCAGTCCTATGTATGTCACATTAGCTGATTCAGCATCAGAATAGTTTGTTAACCCTGTAGGACATTAGATTTGCGTTTCACTTCCTTGTCAACACCACTGGTTTTCCATGTCACACACTAATAGCACATACAGTAAATAATATTACATTACTTTGCATGCTTCATGTACCTTCATGAAAACCTGCAAATATTCTAATTAATATTTTAGATTAATTTATCAGTTTATTTTATAAATGACACAGTGCCAGAGTCTAACCTCCAGTGTGAAGGTTCCAACCACAGGTTTGTGGTCACTGTTGCTGTACTCCATGTGGCTGGTATACAGGTCCTGCTTAATGGTCAGAGGGTACTCCTCATCCTCCTCTGACCTGCTGATGTTGTTTTTATTATGCTCTCCATCGGTTAGAACTTTGGACTTGAGTCGCCACAGGATACGGTCTGTCCAGGCAGGCTTACGTTTCTTTTCACTGGACAGGTGAACAGAAGGAATCAAAGTGAGAAGTGAGAGAAGGAGAAGGCTGTGATGAGGAAATATAGCCAGTAAGAGTCAGTAAGAGTTAACACTGTTCAAGTCCATGATTGAGTGGAGGAAACTAGAACGGCCAAATAACTGATTCCATAACAACAGACTGGTTATTAGTTACTGGACGAAGTAACAGTCACCAAGAGAATTAAGTTACTGGACGATGGAGCAACAGGCGATAAACAAATTCTATTTGCTCTGAGGTAAAGTCACGTGTCCTTTGATTCAGTTTTATTATAAACAAATTAGCAGGACACATTTGTGGACTGTGGACTTACAAAAAACACACAGCAAACAAAACTATATATATAATGCCCTGGTCTTCACTGACTTTCGCAATATATTTCTACCTTGTTTACCTCAGTACTCCCCAGTACCACACTGATGTAATATCCAGTTATAAATACCAGTCACAAATTACCCAATCATGGCATCTCCACAGTCAAAACATCTATTCCTGGCCAGGAATGTTAACTGTTATGTAGCAGCTGTTATGGGACTGAGGAGTTTAATTGCAGGCTTTAAAAATTAACTGCAGGTTAGGTGGTTAATAAAGACTGCAGATAATGAAGCTTTTCACATGGTACCCTGTAGAATTCCCAGTCAGTTATGTTTCTTACACAAGTTAGGCCTCAAAAGGTTGTGGGATGTGTACATTTTTAAAATGTCTTTTAACAGAGTCAAAAAACATTTTAACCCTTGACTTTTGCTCATTTAACACACACTAATTTTAACAATGATCATTGCAGGTGTCACAAACTCTACAGGATACTTCAAACAGCAGTATTAATACAAAAAGGCAGCCATAAGCTGGACCAGCTTTGTCCAAACTAGGTGTGCATTCAGTCTTCTATTTTCTTTTGCTTAAAACAAAACATTTGGTGAAAAAGCGTGTACTGTATACAGTACTTTCTCCACCAACTTGAGTCAGACTTATCGTTCAAACATGCAGTGCGACAGATTAAAAAAAAGCGGCCGTCTAATATCATGAGTAGAAATTCAAACAAATATACTGTGCACTCTTACTTAAAGCCAAACCCTGAGGTGTTGTCCCTGTGAAGGTGAACAGACGTGAAGATGACACAAACACAAGACACATACTGCAGGTCAAAAACTTGGGAAAACAGGTGTGGCTTTTCATGTGCGTCATATCGGAGACGGTTACCTGGTGTCGTACGTGTCAGAGTTCAGGTCAAACTTGTAGGTGGGTTGAAAGTTCAAGTGACCTTCTTCAAACTCCTGAAGCATCAGTTCTTTCTCCTTCATCATAGTCAACTGCAAATCAAAACAAAGGATCAAATATGACACAAACACCAGCAGATAAAATAATAGATAAAATCTCCTTAAATTTGTATCTTAACTAAGTGTTATATCCTGCTGCTCCCAAACAAGGTTCATTAAAAAAAAAAAAAAAGATTTTGGACCACATACCCCAACCAAACTTTCTTTTCATCCAAACTGAATCACTTATAGACAGGATTTCTTTGAGACTCAAACCTGGTCTTTGCGCCACAGTAGGTTGTAGGTTTTGTTGTCGATGCAGGAGTGGACGTAGTCCAGTTCATGGTCTTGAATTCTGAAGTTAAGATCTCCCAACCATAACACCAGCCTGTAGACACAAACAGTTCAGACTTCGAACTCTTCTTCCTCATAATTTTTAGCAAGAAGTGTTCAGATTTTATATTTATGTCTTCTCACTTGTGATCGACGATCCTCTGTGCTTTTTCGCAGTCAAACTTCTGCGTATCCAAGATGTAGACAAAGTCATCCACTCTCTCAGTCATGTGTTCCATGTGAGCAGCCAGGTGGCAGTTAAGCAGACAGATCATGTGACCATAGAAAGAGAACCGGACAGAGACGCCACCTTTGTTACCCTAAAGTGCAAATTAGGACAAAAATCACACAATAATATTAACCTAGACCAATGACCAAAAAAAAACCCCAGTTATTTTTGGTGGACAATGAACATCAACTTCCACTTTTGTGGTTTACTACACAAACGTGACTCATGTTATTCTTCCTGTTATTTAAAGCAGAGGTGCGTACGTTTTAGAAATTCCACTTCTGGGTGGGTTATGTTTAATGTCTATTGATGTGAGTCTCACCCAGTATCTCGAGATGCCAGTACGTGTGTACGAGGTCTTGATGTCTCTGATGAATGGCACGTGGTGCAGTTTGGCAAAGAAGAGAAGCAGCAGACCCTGCATTCTGATGGATGACAGCTGAAACACACACACACACGTATTTATAAAGACATACTACGGCTGTAAATATATACTGTACATAAGCACTGACTGCACTGTGAGGCTGTTTGTTCTATTGTTTTAATTTGTTGTTTTGTAATTTACATTAGTTTATAATAAAATAAAAATATAAAATCATTTTATAATAATTTAAGTTTACACAGACAAAGAAAAAAAAATCTCAATCAAAAGCAAAATTAAATCATTATTGACAACTAGTGGTGGGTTTGTTTTGGGTGTTCTAGGTTAGGTGTTTTTGGAAGATCTGTACCTTGATATAATTTTGTGGTCCAAGAGTAGACATGAACAAGAGACTCCAAGGATCATTGAACACAAGCTGAGTCATGTATCTCAGTGGGACAGAAGACACTTCCTGTAGACTGAAACAAACAAACACACACATACATACATACAAACAGTTTTAATAACCAGAGACCACCAAAGATCCAACCTCTAACTTGTTCACCACCTACCCGATCACAAAGAGGTCCGGGTTTTGTTGAAGAATCTGGTTCAGATGAAGCAGCGAGTTTATGTCATCTGGAGGATTAGACGTGGCTACGTTCCATGTGATCACATGTATCCTGCAGGAGTTGGAGGAAAAACAGAAAATCATTTAGTTTCATGTCTAATTATACTTTGGACTCTGCCAGGGTTTAGATTAAACAAACAGTGCCATTCAGTTAGCCACGTAGTCGCACCACTGGAGATGCAGCAAATTAAAGCCTCTTACAAAGTAGGCCTTGTGTTGTCACCACAAGCACATTAGTTACAGTAAGTCATCCTGGTGACCAAGTTCACAGCATCACACAACATTTTTTCAACAATTTTCACTGAACAGAAATACACAGTGAACCAAATAAAAATAATTAAATACACAACCTTCTTATGGAAGAATGTGATAATTCTATATTCAAAATATTAGTACATAAAATGTACAAGCAAAATATAGATACACATCTTAATGGTATCACTTTACTTTTTAATATGAATGGGCAACAAAAGGATATAGTAAAACAAGTATTTTTTTCCTTTGAAATCTCATTGCAATATCTTAAATAAACTGTATTTAGGACTCTAGATACATAAAAACACGGGACGTGTTTATACGAATCTATCAATAATATTATTCAGTTGTTTCACATTTCTTTTTACAATTTTAATCTTAACAACTCAATAGGGAAAATTGTCTGTTTTGTAGAGGCCTGCTGAATAATTTGTGTTTTATGTGGAGTTGTATCCATATGATATGTAAGTGAAATCATGTTCTTTAGTCCAACCTGAAATTGCTTTTGCTTTCCTCCAGACCAGGCTGCTGCTGCTGAGGCTCCTCCATCGTTACCTCCACACCTGGAACACTGCGACTAAACGAATCCGCTGAGATGTTCACTGTATCCGCTTAGGCCCCGACAACACTCGTAATCACAGCTAGCTACCACTGCTAACAACTTCAGTTTGAAAATAACAACATGATGTTTAGTCCGTCTACTCTATACCTGCATTGCTACATCTGTTAGCTAACCAGGTGAAGTGCATATCGTTAGACCATCGACTTCTCGCGCTGCGAGACTGGTCGCAGTTTTTTAAACACTCGTTGAGTCAAACCAAGAAACTAAATGTAATGGTTAGCTGCCGTACAAGCTACCTGTTGTTGCTCGCTTACATATCCTAGAAACATACAGTCGACATCAAAGAATAAACATCAAAGTGGCTTGTGTACAAGTGGTAGGTGCAGTGTTCGCCCCGCCTCTTCCGGGAAAGTATTTCCCACATGCGTTCAAAATAAAACCATCTTCTCGCGAGACGTTAAAACGAGGCTCTACGGGATCTTTGCAAAATAAATGCACTCCCTCATTGAAACATGGCGTATCCCGATTAACAATTGTTGTTGGAATTTCCACCAATAAAAACGTGTGAAATACAGCGAGAATTTCCTCGTAAAATACTTAAAATTTATTTAAAATTATATAATAATAATTAATCTCGGAAAACAGTCGTCTGAAGTTTCCTGTATATTATGACAGTATATAACTTTATATTATTGTGTATATAATTTCTTGTCTTAAAGTAATGAGCACAACAATCGATACGTTCAGGTACAAGGGCCTAAATGTTGTTTAAATGATTTCACATTATATACTTCACCAAAACTACCAACCTACAACCATAAGGACTGGGTGAAGAAAGGCAGGAAACATATTCTAAATGCACCTGCAATGAAACAGAGGATCTCTTAAAGGATTTATGGTTTAAAACTTTTATAGGAAAACCTTTATTTAAAAGAATTCAGACTTCAGAGGATCAAAGGAAACTAATTCCTAAGATTTTGCTAAAGATCAAAACTTCACATTGTGATTTTTTTATATATATATTTGGAGACTGATCAGTGTATGACATGATCAATGTTAACACCAGTGAAAAATAATTACAATTAAAAAATGAGCCTAAACAACAATATAGTCTTTGAAGTAGGTTTGTTGAATGCTGAGGACGCAAGTTTTATTTATAACTATTTAAATTATTTAATATCATAACCAAGGCCTCAGTTTACAACCTCACATACAGGGCCTCTCCAGGACCAGAGGCGTTGAGGAGGCTGCGTATGTAAGACTGAAGCACCAAAGACATCCATTGTCTTAATCTTTAATATACTACATAATTAGATAAAGTCATTATAATAAAATCCAGGAATTTTTATTTGACAAGGCAAAAATTGTGACATCATACTATAAAAAAAAAAAAAAAAAAAAAAACAGCAGTTGGCATCTCTGAATCCAACATGATTCACATTCAGAGAAGTTTGAACTGATTTAAAGGAATGTTAAATGTCTCTGATGTGGTTGTTTGTGATGATATAAATAGGACATCCACAATGCACTAACTGTGACTGTGAAGACATACAGTATCAGCCAGAGAGTGCAGATGATGATTCCACATGATGTGGAAAATACAAAAGACATTTACTGAAAGGGATAATACAGAAGAAAGAAAAAAAAAGTGTTTACATTTATTCTGGGAGCTGGCAATTCCCTGTAGGTAAGTAGAGAAATTCTCCATTTGTTGTCTTCTGCAGTCCAGCTACTACCACTGATGTGTCCAAATGATAAACAAGGTGGCGCCAGAACCTGTTTACCGTAACACTTTTAGAATAAAAACACTGCTCTAGAATGTCAACCATAGCAAAGAAAAGGAAAATATTCAATCAAGGGAAAAATGAATCAATGTCATTTAAAAAGATTAAGTGTACAGGTTGACATGGTTGACTAAGAGAGGACCAACACCTGTTGAACAATATTTCAAAGTAAAGAAGGACTAAATAAGCATGAGCAAGGACATTGTAACCCTACAACTGGCTCCACCAATGTAGTGCATAAATACAAACACAGGACTTACATCAATAAGCTCTTATCAAGAGCACATTTTATTAGGGTACACAGGTGAGTGTAGTATCTTTGATCATGCCTATCGAGCTCCGAGAAGTCCAGCATCGAAGGTCAGCCGACTGAGTGTCAACACTCACCAGCCTCAGCTGTTGGCTGTCATGCCTTTGGCCTCATCATTGTGTCTCATCTAAAGCACAAACAAAAAAAAATGTTATGGTGTGCAAGCAAAGTTCTTCAGTCATCTGCCACACTCGTTGAGTAAATTAACTGGACAGTGGTCAGATTATTAATGACTAGGGATGTCATATATATTAACTTTTTGCCAGCATCCAATATTGTCCATACACTTAATTACTGATTCCAATATGAACTGATACCAATATGAACTGATACCGATATCAGCCTGGCAATATTTATTAATTTATCTGTACAAACCACTGTAAGAATATGAGATGAATGAAACAAGCTGCATTGCTGCCATCTAGTGACTTTCACTTTAATATACAGCCATTTATCCCCCAAACTATTTTTTAGCCACTAAGCCACCACTGCCCCAACGTCCAGGCAGTGCAATTTAGGAAAAAAAATCTACAACTGAAGGGCAAAGTCACCTGATCCAGCTCCTTCTTTGTCTCCTCCTCCATACGCCGTATGTCCTCCATTGTCAGATCAATCCACTTGTCGATCCAGCAGAACACCTGTCTGTGGAAGATTGCGAACAACTGCCTCTCCATCTAGAAAACAAGTGAAGAGAGCAGTGTAAGAAAACAGGATGAAAATAAGTTTATTTGAGGGACAACTAGGGTCAACTATTCCACCGTTTCAATATTTCTGCCATATAAAAAAACTTCATGAAATAAATAAATATTTCAAGTAGCGACGACAGAAAAGCAAAGAGCTGAAAATGCCCCGACTTCAGATCCAACATCACCTTGTGAATTAGGCTTTCAATTTTATTTTGGAGTCCGGCCCACTTGAATCTAACGGAGACCAATTTGTAGGCACACATGTGTGGACAGTTGGGGTTGTTAGCAAGTTCTTTCTGAAAAGACAGAGACAAATGTTTTTATAAAAATGTATCAAAATGTACTGAAGGAGCACCAGTGATAAGTAACACAAGGACCTACCTTCCAGTCAGGTCCCAAGGGCCCTCGGCCAGTCTTCTCTGACTTAAACAAGGCTGGATCGAACTCTTCTTTGTAGTCCTAAGAATAAATACAACAAGAAAATGATCAAGTACTAAAAAAGCACAACTTAAATGTACACAAATATATCACAAACTTCTTTATGAAGCTATTATGAACATTTGTTTTTATCTCACCTTTGAAGGTATGGCACTTCTGTCAGCAATGTCAATGTTAACTATTTTAACTTTGTCCCATTCATTTTGTGGTAATCCATGGACCTGCAGCGAGAGATAAAGAGAGGTTATTTACAAGACAGGGACACAAGCTGTTGATTACAAATGTTCAAATCATCACCGCCCCATATATCAAAATACAATTATACTAAATACAGTATTAACATGAAGTATTATCTGACATATGTCTAAAGTACAAACCAAACCAGAAGTAGTTTCAGCAACACAACTTACATTTTCCTGTTCCCCAAAATCAGGCTTGTGCCATGTCTCAATCTTGATCATAAACTCTTTCATCCAGGCATTCTATGGATGTGGGAAGGAAACATTGTTACAGAGGTCAGAGTGTACATTGCTGTTAGAATAGTAATTGAAATTAATATGATTTTAGACAATTATATTGTGTACACATATTTAAAAAATAAGAATACTTACTGAAAGAACTGAATGCGAAGAAAATGGAAATGGCAGTGTCAAGGAAAGAGGAGCAACCCAAAAAAAGAAGACAAGACTTCCGATCAAACAATAGAACATACAGTACCAGTACAATATAAACATTATCTTTGTATTTTGTCTAACTGACTAGTGTCTCCATAAACATCAGTAATTTCAATTATTTACAGATAGTATAAATGCTTCAATACTAAAACTACAACAACAATAATTATAATAATAATAAAATGAATATAAATGAAGTAGTATATAGTATTAGCCAACATTCATATGTTGATGTGAGGAAACTAACCTGTTCGACAGTACGGGTATGCGTTCCAGGCCTTTTCATGAATTTCAAGAGCACCTTGAGGAGCTAAGAACCGAATCAAACTTGGTACTTTACTGCAAAATAAACACATAAATAAAATAAAATAAAAAACAACTTTAAATTGTATACAGAGTAAATTTACTCAATAAGACATATATTGTAACAACTTTAAATTTACTCAATAAGACATATATTGTCAACATGTTAAATAAGAAAAAAATACTAGGAATAACTCACATTACTGCATATTTTACTGAGCAATTAAATAAACACTTCAAAACAGTACTATTTCATACATAGTCCATCCATTAACAGCCAGTTTACTAGTGCTTGTTTTGAAATACAGCCAGTGTACTGCAGTAGGAATAGACAAGTCATAAGCTGCCAACCTGTCCAGGTGGTAGATCTTGTGGGTGTACTGTCCCTTCTCTCCATTTTCATCATATGGGCTGTTTTCCAACACCTCGACACCTTCTCCTCCACCCGTCTCGTTCTTACTGGCCTCCGCTACTGCATACAGCTGACCGACCTGGTACTAAAGTAGGACAGAGGCATATAAAGATTTTATGCATCTCTTATTTGTAAACAAAAACACAGAAAAATGTTTCTTTATCATTATTTTTCATGCCAATAAATATTTGTAGAAAAAAATAGTCTCATTAAAGTTGAAAATCTTCAAACTAAATAGTATGAAATTGTAATAATCACTATTTGGCTTCTGCTGCCCTCACATGGCCGAGTATGGAACTACAGGGTTTTCCTCTCTATGCAGTTTTGACTTGCCCATTAGCAAGATGACAAAAATGCTCAATGGGATTTTATTAAAATGATCCAATTGGTTACTTTACAGGAGTGTGCATGAATTACTTTTACATCACAATACAGAAAAAATGTTAACATATTGTTTCCTAAAATTTGTCATTTTTGCAGCAGGTCAGGGGGTCAGCCTGTATCTAATTTAACTACATTTTGAAAAACAATTCCAAACTACAAGATATATTTAAAGATAATGACCTTGTGAAGGATAAAGGTCGTTGAACTAAAGTAAACCACTGACTACTGACTGATCAGCACTGTGGGCAACAACAGCAAGCTAAGCTTTTTTACATGACCTTTCCTGCCTTTTCTTCTCTTCCTCTTCATCTTCCTTCTCCAAACACCGCCTACAGATCAAGGCCTTACACAGTCACACTGTCACTGTGTTGTGACACTGAATGTTGTATCTCATATGAGCGGTGCTGTCTGCCTGGGTCAGCACACTCAACATATAGGACACAGGACAAGGACAAAACCTATCTAGGCAATTACTTTACGAGTTATGGACGGTGTGTAAACCTTGGAAACCCTGACCTCAGCTTCTCATCATGTCTGGTCTATCAATCCTAAACACGTGGGATATTCTGACAATGAACTTTTGAGGCGGATCATGTAAAGAATACACTGCAAAGAAAGGGGGAGAGACTGCACCGTCACCATGACAGTTCATAAAAGGAAATACTTTACTGTCATATTTTTAGGTCACATCCATAAAACAGAAAATTGATTATAATACTTTATAATATTTTATTCCATTTTGTATAACATAATATAATGTATATTTTATTTACAAATTACCTTACCTCTAATTCAATGATGATAATAATTGTGTTATCATAATAATAATATATTGTTTATGAAAGTTGATTATGTTCTAACAATTCTTTAGGTAATTTACAGTAAGTGTTTCTATATGTAGTCATGAACTTCTTCCTGAAAGTCAGCCCAGACTGAGCACTGCAGTAGGAAAACACTGATGATGCAGTTTAGAAGGAAACCGAAAAGGACATCTACCAGTAAGAGAAAGAACTTAGAACATTCTTCAGAAAAAAAATTCTCTCTCCTCCTCTATTTACTGAAGAGTGAAGTAAAGGGGACGTATTTCATGGAAAAAAACCCCCAAAACATCATGTTTGTTTCCGTTTCTTCAACGTGTTTCAGGGGTGTGTTCAGATCAGTCAGGGCTATGAAATGTGTCAGTGCATTAAATAACCACACCACAAACAACCTGAACCACCCCTTGAACAACTGAGTCATTGACAACTGGATTAAGGGAGTGTTAGAGTGCAACACCGACGATGTTCATATTCCAGAAAACTTCCACAACTTCTGCTCAAAACACAATGAACATATTTGTTAATTTTGCTGCCAAGATCCAAAGACTCAACAGAATTGTCATTTTTCTGGGTGGGAATTACAAATCAATGAGAGTGTATTAAAACATTTCTAGAAGAGGAACATTTCCAGCCAGACTTTTATAGAACACAATGCCTCGTGTTTTCCCAGGTAGGGCGGGGTATTTGTCAAAGCTATTATGTGCAAAACAATCAAGAGGATTTAAAGATCACAAATTAGATAAGTGGGAGCTAAGTGGCGAAATGATCACAGAGCCCATATTCACAATTTTTTTTCCATTTATAGTTTTAAAATGTACTTTGAAAAGGGTGGGTTTTTTTAAGCTTTTAATTCCTATAAACTGCCAATAAACATGGTGGTTTATAGGTAGTACAAGTGTTTGTTTGTCTTTATTGTATTTTTATGGGCTCAACACAAAGGCATATTCTTCTGGTTTGAATTTATAGGAAAGCACAATGAAGAGCACAGAAACAGCTCTTTTGATATTTTGAGATTAAATTATTAATCCCATCCCATCGATGTGATTTATTTACTGCTACCCAAACCTTAAACCTCTCAACTATTTCCCGATTCCCCAATCTATAGGGTGGGTGCAGGGTCAGATTACAGACGGTTAACAAAAACAAAAGTGTTAATAGTTTGAGTAGTTTTGTGTTAACTCATTATTAGGTTAAGTTGACTTTCAGTTCCTATTTATAGAGCATCTTAGTTCCAAACAGAAAGAAGGTTGTGTTGTGTGTTCAGCTCTGCTCTCCTGACTTTCAAGTCAAAAATGTGACTGGTCATGTATAACCAGTAGTTCTTGTGTGTGTTCAGCTCTGCTCTCTTGACTTTCAAGTAAAAAATGTGCCTGGTCATGTATAACCAGTAGTTCTTGTCACTGTCATGGGGAGCTACTGGTAATAACTGATCATCCGACAATGACTTTTAAAAAAAACAAACTGGCTGAACCTGAGTTTTGTCAAACACAAATACACAAGAAGTGTTTTCATGTTTTAAAAAAAAAAAAAACTGGCTGAACCTGAGTTTTGTCACAACACAAATACACAAGAAGTGTTTTCATTTTCATCAAGCAGATTGTTCTAGCCAAAAGGTCAGTGACACAAGCAAAGGGTGATTACAACTACAATTGGCTGTTAGCATGTGACTAACAACAGTACAAATGGAAAACCGCGATGGATTCTTCTGTTACTTTTAGTCACGAAGGAACAACAGCCATCACGGCTCCACATTCACCCACAGTGTCTCCACTGTCTGCGTGTTGTAACCTGTGTGAGGACAGCACGTCCAGCTGCACATTATCTACATACGTTGACTTTCTTCTTTATGCATGAGATTAAAGAGATGTTTGTTCTAGGAGAGCACAATCAAATTACTCACTGGAAATCAGATTTTCAGGGGGAGGGAGTTGTGCTTTTTGCATGTTTTGTTCAATATAATTAAAAGGACAGTAAAAAGACCACTGGCAAACAAAACTGTTCGTCAAACTCATGTAGGAAGTGGTACCTACAACACACTTCAACTACAACACAATGACTCTTATCCTTTTTTTTACTGTATTTTCTTGCTGTATAAAACTCCTTATCTCCATTGTTTTATGTTCTCTTCTTTTTAAAATCAATAGGGGTCAGATGTAGACACACTTTGTGTCTACACCGCTGCATTCTTGTCATTTGTTCAGACTGAGACATGTCATTGATCGGCTGAAAAACGTCCAAGGTTCCTAAGATATTAAGCTATCCTAACAGAAGTCTCCATAAAACTATAATATTAGCTACTGACACATGGTCACTTTGTGTAACACAAGCATCAATTTTAATATATATTTATGTTTACCATATGTGGTCAGCAGAAATATGCACAAAGAACTGTTTTCTCAGCTATAACCATATTTTCCAGACTATGTCTCATTTAATGTATATTACATGTTATGACATCGGGAATCTCTGGTATTGTATCCATTTTCTTTTTTGTTTTGCCTAAAATGAGTTGTCAACAGTCATGCACGGTTTGATTTTGTCCACCTTAAGGGACAAGTTACGTAATTGTCAGAAAACAAATACATGCATTGTTTGATTTATTGGCAACTAAGTTGTCCAACCAGTTTACCTCGTGTTTGTAAATGCAGTTAAAGACACAATTCTTTTAGTTGAGCCCACGTTTAGTAATCTGAATGACTTGTATTCATTTACAATGGTGGAATCAATACAAACCAGTTCATGGAGCGTAGCATTTATAATGAACAAATTCAGAGGCAGTGTTCAAATCTTCCCCTAGTTGGGTTTGATACATGACGTAAGTTGACAGAATGTTGATAACGTTATTGATAATACAGTAGTCTTTGATCTTAAACAACAGAGATACAGGTTCAATCAGAGAGACAATTTCTTTACCTTTAAACCCAGTTTAATCTCTCTCTTGATGTTAACCCACTGAAGTCTAAGGTGTACAAACTACCAGGCACGTGGTTGTCCTGAACCAGTGGTACTGTCGTTTTCTTTAGCTTAAACAAACTCAGGACATTTTTCATTTTTCTAAACACAAAAAAAATAACATTTCTGCCAGATTTTCTCAAAAAGGAACATTGTTTCTGCTGTGAAATTACCTCTGATTGTTATACTTTCTTTTACAACAGACAGAGTTACCAATTAAACTGAAATTGTTCTTCAGTTTTAATAGTTATTTGCAGTTTGTTATATATTACTGACCATGCAAAGTTATTGTTTATGTAAAATTACGTAAAAAGCCCTTACCTCCTCCACTGAAATGGGCAGGACGATTCGGCTGCAAAAAAGAGAAAAGAAAAAAAAACATTGTTTTAAAACTCTATCATTCATGGAGACAACACCAGTATTAAAATGATGTTTATTTGGCTTTTTGTGCCCCCTTTACTAAAGCCCATGGGGGGGGGGCTCACAATTGGGAACCACCTGTTTGGAATATTGCAACAGAGGGGCTGAATCATTCATGAATTTTGAACAAGTCTTGTTTTTCACAAAGCAATTCTGAATATTTTCCAAAACCTTTATAACGTGTATTCCCACAAAAAGTCCAACTACGTTTGTCACAAACCCATGAAACGGCTATGAAATGTTAATAGAAATGTTAAATGTTATGTGATTAAATTACCTTAAACCAAATACATTTTTATCCAAGATTGTTGTTACGTAATCTAGCAATCATCAAACCATTCAATAATCCATTAATCACATTATCTCCAGACAGTCATTTTTACGGATTTTGTCAAAATGTCAATGATTTAAAGACAAATGAAGGCAGACATAGACACTGAGACTTCTCCCATGGAATCTTGTAAAGAGATTTAGCACACATACTGTATAGCTTAAAGCTGATCTTGACAGTTAGTATTATCACCCTGGTCAAGATGCATACAATGTATACACTATAGGTAGCTACAACAAGGTCCGGGTTCGTCAAGCGCCTAATTTAGTACTCTGTTTTTTTAGCGCTTGTGGATGCTAACTCTGATGCAGGATACAAAACAGTACCACTAGATATTGTGATGGTGATATATGCTGCAGTATTGCTCGTGTCAGACACCGCCACAACAACAACAGAAATGGCGGAACAATGTAAAGAGAGGCTGTGTGAAAGTAAAAGTATGTATTTTATGTTACATCACTAGGTCACATCATTTTAAACAAAATGGGACATGGGGACAATGGGGTTAAGTGCCAGAGGAAAATTATTAGGTCAGTTACTATCTTATACTCCGGAGTGACCTATACTCCAAAAAGTATGGTAGTTGATTTTCACCACTACAGTTGGGGTTAAGTTCCAGAGGAAAATTATTAGGTCAGTTACTGTATGTACTAAAAATAGTAATACAATAATCACAGTAACACAGAACTGGTAGACCTACTAAATTCCACTAGTTAGGTCTTACACGTCTGTGATCCACAACAACAAGGCTCCATGTTTACTTTGCCTAAGGCCTGGTGATGTAAAAATGAAACCTTGTTGTTTTGGTTTTTTAAACAACCTATAACTAGAGTCACAGGGAAGTGAAGCTTTGGATGCTGGATGAAAACTCATCTTAGAAGTATCATAAAACAATTATGGCAAATAAGCAACACAACCAACTCCACCCTTTAGTCACCATGGCAACAGTTTTACAAAAAAAGTGAGCTGAAAAGTACTTCACACGTCATTATTGGAGCCATGACAAGGAGACACGTGGCTTAAAATCCTTGTCAGAAATATAAATTAACTTTTAATAACTGTCTCTGTCGTCACGTAACGACCTAGTCCATACCAACTGCCAAACCCTATTATTAAACATGGCTGCGCCTTTCAATGCACTTTGAACTACTGTCATATGACAGCCAGGTTCTTCAATTTGTTCTGGCAGTGATGCGCATGTGCTCTCATGAAAGGGAGTCTACCTGTCCAGAGCAGAACAAACATTGTTCGTTTATGTATTATCACTCATTACTATACATATTTCGGAATACTTAAAGGCATATTTCATTCTCAACGATGGCAAGGTGCAAGTTCACTCAACAGCCTCAACCCTGAAACTGAACTATTTCAAGTACCGGTATGAATTAGTCAATTCGAAACAATTCGAATCGATTATCACCCTTTGTATTGATTCAAAGCAAAACAATACTACTACGCCGTGTAGCTGCGTATTGTTTAAAAGCAAAAATCGTAATATGACTTAATTGTATTGTACGTTTTTACGGGTCGAAGCGACCAAACACTGTTAAAGTTGCCGAAACACAAACGAACGAGATACAACCAAACTTTCAATGAAGGGGTTTTTTTTTCAATTATTTTATAACATATACATTCATTAGGAGAAAGCTGTGATACTCACTATTCGGCCGTCTGCATGTTGTTTGTGTTTCAGCCCAAACAAAAGAGTTAAAGACAGCTGAAAGTGAAGAAACACCTTATCCTTTCCTGTAGCCACAAACAGCAGACGGGAGCCAGCCTCTCTGCTGCTCCGGCTTTCCTTCCTGGAAGATACTCCGTGAGTGAAGGGGGCGGGGCCAGCGACAGGTGGGAGGAGTCAAACACCTAGAGTTTCAGGTAACTCAATGTTGCATTTTCGTGCAGTTTTAGTCTTTCAAAAGCACCGCATTCTTGCATGACGGTTTTCCGAGTGACGCCCTCTAACGTCTAAATTTATTTTTTTCGTCACGGCTTTGTGAAGAACACAAGTAGAAGAGAATTCTTTTTGTTCGCTGTTTATCTTCAAAGGATTCAATTTTTTTACTTCAAAGTCTAAAATTTAGCTTAGGCATTTATACATTTTCACACTATTATGTAAAGTGAAATATTGTGTTTCAGCTGAAAGTGAAGAAACACCTTATCCTTTCCTGTAGCCACAAACAGCAGACTCGAGCCAGCCTCTCTGCTGCTCCGGCTTTCCTTCCTGGAAGATACTGCGTGAGTGAAGGGGGCGGGGCCAGCGACAGGTGGGAGGAGTCAAACACCTAGAGTTTCAGGTAACTCAATGTTGCATTTTCGTGCAGTTTTATTCTTTCAAAAGCACCGCATTCTTGCATGACGGTTTTCCGAGTGACGCCCTCTAACGTCTAAATTTATTTTTTTCGTCACGGCTTTGTGAAGAACACAAGTCGAAGAGAATTCTTTTTGTTCGCTGTTTATCTTCAAAGGATTCAATTTTTTTTTACTTCAAAGGCCTCTGTCTAAAATTTAACTTAGGCATTTATAAATTTTCACACTATTATGTAAAGTGAAATTATTTGTATTTTTATGTGAAATGTTTCTTGTCAGAATTTGATTTATCCATGTGGAGGTCCAAATTACACGCTTCATTTGAGGTCAATCATGCAGTTTATATTCCTGTTGTTTGTAATAAAATAATTTTGGTTTTTTTTCTTTTGTCTTTTCATGTGTGTATCTTTCTTACATTGTATAAGGGTTGATTAGCTATGATGATTTTCTTGAGCATTTGGCTTACTTCAAATTGTATTGCTGCTTTCTACTTCACTCTACTCACTTTATTTCTTACTTCCATTCCTTCCTCTCCTCGTTTTTTTCTCCGCTGTTTCTATAGCAAGTTAAAACATTAGGCAAAACTACACTGAACCAATTTTTCAATTTTTTTTTTCCTTGACGTCCACACTCACACAAAAGAACGACCCTAACGTGTGACCTTGACGTCCACACACACAAAAGAACGACCCTAACGTGTGACTATATGAGGTCATAGGTTTTGAAGGGTGTTGTAAAGCGTCAGTGTTTCAGTGATTACAGCTCAGTGAGCATCATCAGGTGCAACACGCTGTCTGTCCCCACAGTGGGTGGAGCAGCCTACGCCCCAGTTCTCAAACTTGTACAGGGAGAAACCACCGTCTCAGGTTCAACCTGTTTATGTGAAACTGGTAGAAAATCTGTTTCCACCCTGGACGCTCTGGAGTGGCAGCATTTATTGAGGCAACATTGTGTGGCGAGGACCAAACTGTGATGTTTTTACATGTGACCTGCTGACCTGTCCGTGTTTTACTGGACTGTAAAGAGTGTTCTTAGTTTTAGAAGAATGAGAAAGAAAATGTGAAAATTATCATCTTTATTTATTTTTAATTTTTTTTGTTTGCATCATACTATAAATCAATCTGTGTTCAGACCATGTGACCTGAAATGTCAGTGGCCATTGGCTATACTGTGGTACAAGACAAAAAGTTAACCAAAGACACAATATATGACAGTGAAGATAAAAGTTCTTCTTTGACATCATTGGAAAAAAATGAAGAAGACTAAAACAAAACACGAGTCAATAAAAAATAACATACATGCCGAAAGTAAACAAGGCATCAAGTTCAGCTACAACTTTTCATTTCCTGTATTCAAATGGAGGCATAAAAATGCTGACACAGGAATTCAAAAACACATCCATCAGAAAGTCCAGCTATTCTAATGCTGGCGCCTTATCTGAGTAAGTCAAAAAGAAAAGTCAAGATATTTGGGGCGGATGAGCTGTTGTTTAAGGTATGGTAGTGAAGGAAAGTGCTGATCAGCTTCCTATCCTGAGGGAACAAACATGTCACCTACACACGCGTCACACATTTACTGTAAGCCAAACGCAGTTACGCGTCCAATACACACTGAGACACTGAGGCGGAGCGCTCAGTGTCCTACTGCACATCATCAACAATTACACACAGAAGTACTTCAGCTGCAGTACATCTGTTAGTCATGACCCATGTTGACATGATGTCACTACACACTTTAATACAATGAGTGAAACCAATATGTTATGGAATTAAATGCTCTTCATAGGATTCCATTCATTTATCTCAGTTATCCAGGGTCAGGGACAACAACATCACTGTACTGTGATGTGTTGAAAACAAGAGTCGACAGATTGAGATCTGATCTTTGACCATCTACACATCCATTTTCTTCTACACTCTTTTGTGTTTACAATTTCTGTCAATTCATGTCTAGTCAGTTCTGATGAAAAAAAAAACAAAAAACCAAACCCTGAACTCCCATGGTGAAATTTTAAAAAAATCAATGCATTTCTGCATTACATCAAACAAACCCTGAACTCCCAAGGTGAAATTTAAAAAAAATCAATACATTTCTGCATTACATATTGTGTTTCCTGGAATTTCCAATTCCCAAAATCTTGTTAACATTTACTGTGACATGCCTTCAAACGCATAGAAATGGACAAATAAGAACGAAAATGTTACTAAGAATTCCTGTCAGGAACCAGCCACGTTTCTAAGTTGTGGATAAAGTCGGCTGCTTTTGCAACTGTGATGAGATGTGTGTGTCCACTTATAATGTTCTGAGAGACAAGACTCTGCCACACTGTCCACACAGGTAAAGGCAACATAAGGAACATGGGAACGAATAGGAGTTTTCAGGGTATAAAAAATAACATCTCTCTCTTCGTTCTTATTGTCTGGATTGGTCTACATCGACGACTCCCCAGTATACATTCTTTGCATCATGCACGCTGTGCGATAAGGGTGCAGCACAGGCCAGTCAGCTGAGGTCCATTTTTTTTAGATCTTAAAGTGCATCATGTGCCATTCATTTCTCACCAAGTCATTCATCGGGGACACAGCGGCGGCAGAGGCTTGTCTCTTCACAAACTGATGGATGAATTGAATATACACTGATGGGGGCAGAACATGTCAGGTACCAGTATACTTCAACCAACCCCTCCCATCACCTGTACACATACAGTACATAAGTACTCTGAGGGGCTCTGCTATCTTTAGAAGTGCCTTTGTGAGTTACTGCCCGGCAACCAGAAAAAAACATCAGAGGAGCCTCAGAGTCAAGACAACAGTGTGATGTTCATGTTTGGAAATGTCATTTTAGTCTCATTCAAATAAAAATAATTGATTTTAAATTTTAATCAGAACGTTACCGGCCACTAGGGATTCAATTTGAAAAACTAGGTTTTATCACAACAGCAGGTTTCACCACAGGGCTCCTGCATCAGGATGGCTAAAAAAAGGTAGCCACTCGCTGTGCCCACAGTACCAGCAGTACCAGTTTAACACTGCCAATGTGATAGCGCCTCAAAGACAAACACGCAGTGAAACGGATGAGTTTACAGAAGTGAAACAGAAAAGAAAAGAAAAAAAAGTTGCTGTGCCAAAGCACAATTTCTGCAGTGACACTTTCCAAAGCAAGAAACATATACTGCTGAGAACAACGGCACCAAACAAGGACAGAGAAGGGTGTGGCTGAATCTACTGCCGCCCACAGGCAGCTCGTCTCCCGTGTGACAAATGACATTTTGTTGTGGGCCCGTGGAGCCACAGTCTGCCCTGGATACTTCTGAGGTACTGCTTTACTGTAGTTGTACATACTGTATGAGGTGTTTGTTTTTACTTTAATAAAAAAAGATGTGACTCCTGTTAGCTTTACCCTTGGAGCGTCTATGTTTAGTATCATTTTATTGCTGACACAGAGTTTACCCCTTCATTTTAAATTGTGAGCACTGCAGGTATATGACCACGGGAAAGTCTCTGATTGGTCACCAGACTTTGGGTAGACCCATTGATGGCTGTGTGTGGATGATTGTTTGTCAACACACTGGCCCTCACCTGACAAAAGCACTTATTGCTCGGGCCAATCAACAATGCTCATTCATGCATGTAACAACCAGTAGAAAACATGTCTCTACACCACTCCAAAAAAAAAAAAAAGAGAAAACATGTCTCAGCCTCTACACCACTCCAAAAAAAAAAAAAAAAAAAAATCAACGTCCAACGGCTTCATCCCATCTGCACATTGTCGAACACAAAATATCATGAACAGTATAGGAAAACAAAACAAAAAAATCAATAAAAAAAAAAAACACAAAATATCAACAGTATAACAGTATAGGAAAACAAAAAAATCAATAAAAAAAATCAGTACATCTGCAGTCATATTGCAATAAATACATTTGAGAGAAAATAAAAAAAGAAAACATACCATACGTAAGAAAATAATGACTTATAAACAACAATAAAAAAGTCTAATATATCAATATGTGTGTTTTCCTGCACTAGTGACTTGAGTGAAACTGTCATCCCGGGCATCATGCAACCCAGGTTGAACTGCTACCAACACTGCGGTTTGTGGATCCATATATGTGTCCTTGAGCACAAGAGCGTACTTTGTGCATGCTTGTGTTTTGGCTCACGCAGGAAGTTTAAAGCTGCAGTAGGCAGGACGAGTAGAAAAGGTGAAGGACTGTCGAGGGTCATGCAGAGATCGTTAAGATCACGACAGAAGACCTGAGGAAAACTTCTCATCTCTCCAACTCTGTCTGCTGATACTGACGTGTGTGTTTTTATTGCGGTTACTGTACTGTGCCTTTTCTCATCTGTACTACGTCATTACTGTATGTAGGTTTCCTTTGCTACCTGGACAGTTGTTGCTGGTGCTAAAATAGCAGATACTCCACCACAAGGACCTGTGAACTGTAGCTGTATGATCAAACTGAGCAGTCTCTGTCTGATTTACCCTGTGAGCTGGTTTAAAGCTGTTGCCCCACGGTTTCCGTGGTGAGGCTGTAAACAGAGAGCGCCGGACATGCAGGTGTGACGGTGTCACTCGGATCATGACGTGGTGACATTGTGCTGACGTGTTATAATGGAATTCTCAATTGATAAAATCTGAGAGAAAAAAAACCATCCTGCCTACTGTACCTTTAAATCCACAAACACACACACACCAAACTGCTGCACGAAATCGTCAGTGTGTGTTGTTGAATAAAATGTTGTGATCAGAGTTCATTCATTCATTCATTCGTGACATTGATGGTGGCGAGAGAGCAATACTTTTGTTGTCCTTGAAAATGTGTCGTCCTTGAATGTAACTGATCTACTGTTGTTTGAGGTAAAAAAAAAAAAAGTTTGTCTAAGAGTCTGTTCTTTCCTCGTTTGTGAGGTGGAATCGATGAAGCTTGTGGTGAGCCTACACCCAAACACAAACAGAGGACAACACACAGTACAAGCACATCATGGCTTAGACTAAAGTGGACGTGTGTGTGTGTGTGTGTGTGTGTCCTCGTTTCCAAAATGTATACTGAACAGAAGAGGGAGGTTGACACCAGGGGTCACAGCGTCTGTTTGGCAAAAAGGCAGTGTGATGGAGATTGTGCGTAGAAACTACAGTATGTTTTTGGATGTGTGTGTGTGTTTATGTATTGGGCAGGTAAGACGAGAGGTGCAGTAGGACAGCTGGGGTAAATCCACAAGAGTGTCATCTTGACAGTGATCTCCACCTCCCTCAGACTCCACCTCCCCTTTTTTCTCCCTCCATCCGTCTCTTTTTTTTTTTTTTTTTGGTGTAACAGCTCACCGTCTACCTCCCAGTTTACACAAAGACCTCAGGCTTCTCGCCGTTGGTCATCTTAACGTAGATTTTGGGGTCCTCGTCGTGCTCGTCTCTGATGCGCTGGAGGTAACGGCTGTGACACAGCAAATACAAGGGCAGGCAGAATCCCAGCATGCTCAGCACCAACAGGCCCACGTTCACCTGGTGACGGCAGGAGGAAAAAGAGCAGCGTAAGAATGATCTGAAGCTGAGGCTCTCGGGTGCAAATGTCCAAATGTTTTTTTTTTTACAGCTTACCCAAAGAGGGTCTCCATCCAGTGGTCCCACCATGGCCATGAAGAGGGGCTGCTGGAGCAGAGCGAACAACGCACTGATCAGAGACTGCATGCCAGTCAGACTGCCGAACTGAGAAGATGGATACCTGCAGGGGGCACACCACGGCTTTAGTACACATCAGTTATCCTTACTGTAAAGTAAACCTGTACTTCGATGTCTGTAAAGATGTGTACATGTAGTAAATAGCAGTAAATAGGTATTTACTCCAACTACACGTCCACACATAATTTCAACTGAATTCATTCTGTTGTGTCTTTGTGTTTCTTCTTGTTTCATTCAATATCTGCACACTTACACAGCAGCGTAGAGGCCGCCCACTGCTGAGTGGATAAAACCTCTGACAATAGTGTGCAGGACGAAGGAGAAAATCTGAAGAGGAGAGAAATAAAAAAAAAAGAAGCTCATTAAGAACCAAAACACTTTCAAAACCAAAAATAGCTATCATCTTTGAAAAAATGGCAGCCGCCCTTGGTTTGATAATACGCTATGAGAAAAATGGCACCCGCCCTTGGTTTGATAATACGCTATGACTCATTCTGGCCAGTAGGTGTCAGTAGAGCATAGCGAGAAACGATTAGCAACGACATGCTCTCGTTTCCTTGAAACCTCTGCAGTATTTCAGCTCAGGGCTGAAGCAGACCGTGTTGAACGCCGTCTGTATTACTGGATGAGGCAGCGGTGAGTTTGTACCTGCAGTGGGAGGTTGGGGACGATGCAGGTGACTCCGAAGCCCACGAGAAGCAGGTTGGTGAAGATGAAGGCTCTGGTGGCGTTGACGATCTTCTGGATCTGTTTGTCAGGACGCCGTGGCTGACCGGGCTCCCTGATCAATCATAAATATAATAAAAAAAATAACAAGTTTATCAAGGCTTTTCTGTCTTATCCTTATAACATTTTAAAAAATGTAATTTTTTTAAGCGTGAATCCCTACGTCTTATCATTCTCGTCCTCGCAATCTTTTAGTCTCCAGTCCATGACGTAGCCAATCACAGGAGAGGTGACCAGACACAACAGCTGAAGGACGCCGAAGATGGAGGTGTAAACACTCACTGTGGGACAGATGAGATATAAACATCACTTTAAAAAAAAATTAAGAAAACAATTATGATCAGCCATGAGGATTAACATGAAATAAATGGTGCAAATAAACATCATTGGAGCTTTCTGAGGTCGTGACCTTAATGCTTTCACAATTCAGGGAATTAGTAAAAACAGGATGTGAATGAGTCAGAGTCAGTGTAACGTCGGCCTTCAATCTCTTACCCACTTCCATTCGTGCAACTGCAACAGCAGCAGGAAGCCAGCGTGACAGGGAGAGAGAAGAAGTCAGAGAAAGGTTTAGAAAAGACGGAGCTGCAGTTACCAACGAGCTAAGCAGACACAAGGATGTTAGGCAGCAGACGGAAAAATCAGACAGGAAGTAAACAGTCGGTGTTGGACAGCTGTTGGAGATGCCGGTTCACAGCGCCACCTGTGTTCACATGCTCAGCCCGAGTCACACACCTTTGCTGAGGTCGCCCTCGGTCAGAGACTCCAGGATGGTGTTCATGGCTCCCATGTAGAAGATGAGACGCAGCTGTGTCACACACATGGTGATGAGGCTCAGCAAGAAGATGGGACTGATGATGCTCTTCATGAAGGACTGATCTGCAGGAGAGAGAGAGGGGGAAGGGATTGATTGATTGATTGATTGATTGTTTGATTGATTGGTTGATTTTCAATTTGAAACAGATACTGAAGATTCCCAAACACTGGTATTCCTGGTACTGCATTTACCAGACCAAACACTGGTATTCCTAGTACTGCATTTACCAGTGTCCTCATACTGAGTTTTCATGTTTTTATTTTAGATGGTACTTCAGTTAGCAGGTTAAACTCGGAGGCCTTTACCAGGTTACCACTGGAGTAGAACAACTCAAGTATAAGTATTTTTCCAGAAGCATTTCCGACCATGGAAAACTACACCAACATGCCCCTGGAAGCTGTAGGAGCACGGGGGGGATTTTAGGGGGAAAGATTGTCATCTAAATGTTCCCACTCGCACTCAGGTGCCAAGGTAACATGTCTCAGGCCACGTGAGCACCGGCGCT